TCCTTTCAGTCAATATTGGGAACGCAATCAATTTTACTCTCCCCTTCCGCCTCTTGCATGTATGCGATTGTAGGTTTCTTAAAATTGGCCTTCACTATCAAACATATAAGAAGTCCTACCCTAGTAACCATTCAGATTGCAGGAAAACCTACTCGTGCAACTAATTGATACCGAATAAAAAGAAATTTTCAAATCATTTCTGCTTCAAAAGTATCCTATATATTTGTTGCACCCTGCTTATAGTCCGAGGTTATAGATAAGTTACGGTTTTTCACAGTTTGTGATTTTTCACAGAGAGTTTAGCGTGAATACTGTTGAAGCAGTAAGATATCTAATGGTAAGAGGGGTAGCCTTCCTCTTAACATTAGAAATCTTACTTGAAAAAGCACGAAAAGGCATGCTATTTCTAAAATATGACGCGTACTGCATTTTAACCGATTATATAACCTTTTCTACTCAACTCAAGCCAACAATTTTCAAGTTATAAAAAGGCGATATTTTGGAGAATAGGCATACCTTCTACTGAGAGTACCAATCAACTCACATTTGCTATTAATTATTTTGGAAAGCTTCTGTAATTCTGATCTGGCTTATGGCCAAATGCATCCATTTCCAAGAAAACTGGAGCTGAAATGGTTGGAACAATCCGAGAAATGCCATGATCTAATTTTCATGTAATGTCGGAAAGTGTTAGCTACTCCACATTCAGGGACCACTTTCAGCGAAAGAGAATGCCTTCTATTTAAATTTATAGCAAGTGTCTCGCTAAAGACGAACGTTCAAAAACTTTAGTGGATGGCAAGTTAAATTGAGCTTTTCAAAATTTTAGAGGACCATTTCGTAGACTTCCACGATCTAAGTTGAAACATATAGTGTGAAAACGAAAAAGGTGTATGTATGTAAAAATGTAAGTCTGTGTAAAAGTCTATGTAAAGGGGGTGTATGTCGTTTGGCGCAATGGGCCGGCTCGCGCCGCCCACTTGAGGCGGTTCGCGGGGTGAACAACTCGTTCACATCGGGCAACACTCTGTCTGTCCTCTCCAGCTGATAGAAACGCGATCAATGACGCCGCTACTATTAGACGCCGAATTGCGGACCTGCTCGTATTCTGCCTACGCACATCGTCCATTCGACGTTTTCGGACAGTATCCATGGAGAAAGGGGACAAGAAGCAATAAAAAATCACGCAAAAACGCAAATGGATGATGTATGTAGGCAGAATACAAGCAGGTCCGCAATTCGGCGTCTAATAGTAGCGACGCCATTGATCGCGTTTCTATTAGCTGGAGAGGACAGACAGAGTGTTGCCCGATGTGAACGAGTTGTTCACCCCGCGAACACCTCAAATGGGCGGCGCGAGCCGGCCCATTGCGCCAAACGACCGCCTTCCATGTAAAGGTCTATGTAAATAAGTGAAAACCAACCTAGTTACAGAGAAAGAACGAAAATACCGCAAAATCGCGTTTTCTGTGATATTTTGAACAAAAAGAGCGGGTGTTAAACGCCTGTAATGCCGCTCACTCGTTGCTTTCCAAAATGTTCCCTACATTGCTTGATAGCTAGGCAAGTCATTACAAATAGGATCACAACTAGTGTATAAATGAATAGCTATTGCTTCTATAGCGCTTTCTGGCCAACAGTCCAGATTATGCATCAGTGTTTTGGATAAGAGAAATGATTATTATTATGATTATGAATTCAGGCCAATCACAAGGTGCGACGTCTTAAGATTCCGTGGTCGTAGAGCGGTTGCAGTTGCACGACCATTTTTTCACTCAAAAGTGAAATGGGTACAAGTATAATCAATTTAGTCTATCGCAAACATGTAATTGTAGGACTGTTTTTAGTCAAGTACCATTTCAAAAAACTCCCTGTTTTTAGTCAAGTACCATTTCAAAAAACTCCCGCATCATCCCTTCTTTGCAGGCGTTTTTCTTGTTAGAAATCGAGTCGATGAACCGAATAAATCGATTTCGGTTTTGCAATTAACTTCAGGCAATTTCATAGAGCCAGCTACGAGTTTGTCCCTTCTTGATATCAAGGCGTTGTTTTCAGCCGAGTTGGATTTGTAATGGGCGTAAATTTGTGCCTATTTCTGCAAGCACAGTTTTTGATTCCCGATGTTTTTGCCTATTTCTGCAAGCACAGTTTTTGATTGAGATTGATATTTTTTGAGAGGCCTCGTCATATGTTTCAGCAAGCATGGAGATATTGTCCACGTAAAAATTTTGAGAAATTTTTCGCGTGAGCTCTGTATTCTGAGTGGTTGAATTTGTCATCAGCGGTAGAGTAAACTTGGTGACGCTCGGCCTCCGAACGAGTTTTCAGGAGTGATAGTAGATTATGGTATCTATCGTGGTGGTTTACCTTTTCAACTAGAAGAATCTGTAAGGTCTTTGTGATGTTCTATGAGTCGAACGTGGGTAAAAGCGGCTTCTAAATCACACATGAGAACGAGTTTAACTGCCGGCGACTCAGAAATGTGTCGTGAATTTATTTGACGAACGATTTACCTTTCTCGATTATGTCATTCAGGAACAGCTTCTCTTCCTTTTCGAGGAAGCGTCGAAAACCGCTCTCAGAAAACATTTTTGCTGGGTTCCTACACTTCTACATGAGTAATGGAGTGGGTTTCCAAACTTCTGCATGGGGAATGGAGTAGACGCCAGCTGACTCGACTGGACTCGGTAGAAAAGGTTTTAACCATCTTTTGTATTTCTTCAGTACATCAAGCTGCCGACAGTATTGCACTGGATTTCTCTACAACGCAAGTTGCAGAGACTATAGTCAGCTTATGGTCATGCCGTAATTATCTTCCAATTGGGAAACATTGCCTTCCAAAGGAGAAAATGCGGTAGTAAACCCACCGAAAAACTTCTCCTTTTTGAGTATTTTGCTAGGTATTCTGACTTTTTTCGTTTTTCCGACATTCTGTAAGCATAATTTCCAGCCCGTCACATTTAACTAAACCTGGATGATTCGCTGTTCAGGGCTTTTTTGAATAGAGGTCATTCTATAAGATTCGGTAGGGCTCGTAGAATGCTGCTATTATTGTAAGACGTGAGACTCATAGAATTATCTTAATCTCTGCGCTCACCTTCCACTAACTTGTGGGAATCTTCCCCGGGCGGTTTTTCGATTTACTATGGAATTGCAGAGAACACAAAAATAGAGAAGGGTATTACAGACAGTGATTGAGAAATACAAACGTCTTCGTTCGAAGAGGATTTTGAATGATGCTATTCTATTCAGTGCATTTGAAGGCAGGTACTCTCTGCTGCTCCAAAAGAAATGTCGTTTTAACTATGACAGCAGTGCAAGGTGTGAGTGGAATTTGAGTTTGTTTCGTTTCACGTACAGTGAACGATGTGAAGTGTGTCCATTCTCGGAAGAAACTGAAGATGCTTCATCGTAACTGAATTTGCGGCTTTCAATTACCGTGTGCTCTCAAAAGAAGTTTAAGTTTTCTAACTATTCGCACCTTTCATCCTTGCAACCTATTTCACTTGTTCGGCATTCACAAAACTTCTGTGCTCTGTAAAGCCATTTTAGTACGCGAGCATATTTAAGATGTTATACTCTCAATTAGTGGTTAATCCAGTAATAGCCCACTGAGAATTTTAATGATATTTGAATGATATATTGCCCGAAAACATTTCTTTGCTGCTCACCAAGCTCGTTCCGCGATATCTAATTTTGGGACGCTCTCGCTGGCTGTCTTGCTGGAGGGGACGGAGATGATCGACAAGCGGTAAAAGACTTAAAGATACTCAGCTGTTGCCGATACTTCTATATTATAATACTAAGTTCGGGAACTTGCGAAGGTCCTCAACATAACTAGCACTGCAACCTATGACTACATATCAAGAAACACCTCGAATATCCAAAGTCTTTTATATACATTACATAGGCAAATTTAAAAAGGTTACGTATGACAACTATAACATTAACCATCTCATCTATACACACGGAATGTAATGAATTAAGTGAAATGAAAGGCGTCACGGTAATTCCGCTGATAGTGTGAGTTGGATAAGAGAAGAAATAGTAGAGATGTATACGATCCGTTTTTTTTTATTTGAAGGAGCAAGGGTGCTGAAAAACCCGAAAGGCTCAGTCAGAGGCGAGAGTAAAGGCAGCTGTCCCGTAACGAAAAGCCATAGAGATCGACGCGTTTGCGTCAAATCGGTGCATAAAAAATGGAGTTTAGTGATTTTCATGTTTGTGGCAATACATGGATAGTTAAGCCGATTTTAAAGACTGATTGCCAAAGGGTTAAAAGGAGATATGTGACTACGACAGTCATTCACATAACATGCATGGGCTAGCAAACAACGAGAGCAGCTCAGATACAGGGCAGGAAGGCAGTATTCGGATACTGTCAGACTATCGTACGTAGTTTGGAATAGTTCTGTTAACCACAGGATTCAGCATCTCGGATAGCAGCGGTAGTCCTACCTCTCCAGCTATACTCCGTTCCATCAAAAAGTGTTGAGATGCTCGTGCCAACGCTCTAAAATGTTGGTCCTTGTAATATTTCCGGACCATAAATCAGCTTCACTTCATAGAATCTTCACAGTGTCGTCATCTCTGAGATGCTACAATTGGTCATGTTGCTATTGCGCACGTACAAAAAGATTAATGTGCACGAGTTCTAGAGCGATAGCTCCCGGGAATTCTATACAGCGATGATTCTTACAAATATTTGTAAGCAATGTGAGAGCCAACGCGCTTTGAAACCTTGTTCCAACACGTCTTCATGGAAGAAATGCTAAATTCTCCACTAAACACTAACTCCTGTGTCAAAGAATTGCCAAACCTGTAATTGTGCATAAAGTAACCCTCTGCTAACCCGGATATGTAAATCAACTAGCATTTTAGTGTTTGTGGGAATGCCTCTTGTAGGGCTACAAGAGGTGATATACAGTAATTGTAGCTCACTGAATGCTAATTGGCACTCGAGGAAGTCAAGCGCATATCTGCAGCGAATCTTGGTGCGTTCAAGGCCGCCAAAAGGAAGGAGTGGGGGAAATGCGAGTGAATGGCACGTCGTTCAAGGCTGTGAGAGAGGGTGAGTAACAGCGCAGCAAGCTTTATAGACGCGAACGAACCTACTCACTTCATCTGAATAAATACATCATAGTGGGGAAGAAGAGTTGCATTCGCAGTACCACGACAAGAGCCCCACGATGTAAGAAGCAGTTCACGTGCCTTCAGAATGTGATGAAAATTTTTTAATTGCACTCCAACTGAAAAAAAAAACAAATTTTCATGAAAAGTAAAGCCCTATGAAAATTCCGAAGTATACCATTGTCTTCAATTTTTTGGTAAAGAGCAAGAAACTTGAACGCAGCATAATCGCATCGATCAAACCCAAGAGCATGCATTCTACTAATCAGCTCAGTCCATTTGTGGACATGGACATGGTAACCCATGAGAGCCACCACACCTGTTGGTAGACTGAAAATACATTTGTTACCAAAAAAAGAGACGACTTCTAGCAGTAATAACAAGTCGATATTATCAGTATTGAGCCATCACGAATGGGTGACTATCTCACGACCTCATCGTATCGTTAACTCTACTCTTGTTGAAATGCCGCTCGGTATTGCGAAACATTTTCTAGATATGAACAGGAACGACAGTGATTGCGCAAGAATTACAATACCTGCCTACTGCTATATGTTCCCAGCGCTATCATTTACTTTGAGCCCTACTAGTCCTTCAATGAATCTCTACTAGAACTCAGTGGAAATTACCGTAATGTGACAAAATAGCTACTCACTCGGCACCATTAGGCAACTTGACTACATGGGAGATTTCCCCTTTCAGTACAGCATAACTGACGTCGATAATATGAATTGAGGCCCAAGATGACTGCAGCATCATCATTTGATCTTCCATCTAGAAATAAAACGTGGCAGAAAGGAAATAAAGTAATCAGTAGCACCTTTCGCACAATTGATTACGCTTCTGTTGACATTACTTATGTCTGTCAAGAGGTAGTCGGGATCAACTATCGTGGTACGATTTCAAGGCACGTTCCCATGTACAATTCGAAACCGCTTGTGAATAGTAGTGGTGTTGCGAACACATCAATGAGATCGGAATAGTTTCAAAGTCTCGCTAAGAACCGAATGTAATCTGTATGGAGGCAGACGGTTTCCGATGGATTATTTAAGAAGGGGTCATCCAATGTGTAACGTGATTGCACAACTCTGGTTCACGAGGGTTTTGACTATCTCACTGTTCCCTTAAAAAAGAACATACCTCCAGCTGAGGGAAGTATGGGGCGTTCTTAGCCCACGCGACTAGCTCATTTAGATTCGCCTCGACGACAGCCATCGAATAAGTGAAAGGATCCACCTTGTCGACTTTGTGAAGAATCGACAGGATCCTATAAGAAGAACTACAAAAGATCAACTTATTTCGGAGTTGTGTTTTGGAAACAAACCCTGAGTTATCTGGAAGCGCTCTCAATAATAAATCCATCTCATGGTTGTCTATGTAGAATGAATCCGCCCCTTTCTCTGTTTGAGAAAGGCAAATGGGTAACACAGGAGAGGAACGGCTTGAGCCTTAACAAGTATGACCAACGACACATGTTAGAAAAGTTGGCAAACACCCAAAATGATACGGTAACTGCCGAATTAATACCTGAACTAGAGACGCTTTTACTCAATGAACTCGCCATTATCATTGTCGAATAAGTGACAGGAGTGTGAAAAACAGAATATTCGGAAAGTTGAGCCGGTAGATACTGCTCTGTGTAATCGAATGGCTCCGGTTTTATCGCTGGGTATATGGGAAGGGATTGTGATCGCAGCAATGGATCATCGATTGACTGTCCCAGAAGGGCTGCTAAGCTATCGGTATCGGGTATATAAGGATTTGGCCGATGAATCACGAAATCTGAAACAGTAGTCGCAATTAACTAACTTAAAGAAAGAAGCTTCAACTGCTGTGGTCTGTTTTGCGATACATCAGCCCAGCGGTGACGTTGAATACAAGACGACCCAGTAAACGTACTTTGCTGAATAGGAGTACTACTGGAAAGCGTTGGGCTCTGCAACATTACATCGTTCCCTGTTTTTGCTTTGCGACCGTGTCCATCAAAGTAATGAATATGAGGCGACTGATCAGAAGTGCTGAAAATTACGCATGGCAAGTTATTTTGAAAGTATTGATACAGCAACCTATTTCATAAAAAAACAAGATTTGGTGGAAGCAAATAAGAACTCGAAAACATTGTGCCTAGATGCAACTTAAAAACTGGTTGTGACACAACAACTTTTGTCATCTCTTTCTCTAACAAACCGTTTTCAAATCATCACCTGCTCGTTACTTGATGATCCATTGGGGGATATGCTGTATAGAAAGCAGTCGAGTGAGGTTGTGGAGTGCTGCCCCGGAGAGCAATGCGCTGCATGCGAGCTGCACGATCCCTTTTGTAGTAAGATCCGAACTTGTTTCTTCCTCCACGCATTCGATCTTCGCGAACAGCTAAAGTGATCCATCTTGTTTATAATGATTAGCGATGAATTAAGGTGTTTGCTGCGACTGTGCTCTATTTTCCAATGAAATTGACGGAAATTTTGAGTAAATTAACTTTCAAATCGCATTTCTTGCATGGTCGTTTCTGGAGCACTACTTTGTAAACTGACTGCGCTCAACATGCTGAAAGCCTTCAACCTATAGTGATGGCATTCAGCATATATGTTTTCGGTTCTGATACGTTTCGTGAAATGGCGCTTCAGTTCTGACGCACTTTGTGAACAAACATACTCAAAAGAGTTCACAAGAATGGGATTATTAAGAATGAGACTGCAATCACTGACATTTTTTCACGAATGAAGAATCTAAGATCACGTTTATTTACTGCACACATTATGAAATGAATTGTCGCTCAGGTTGCCAGCTCTACTCAAAGTATAGGAGTCCAAACTGAAAGAGAACTAAAAGACAACACCATCCCTACATTTGATGATTGCAGCAATCGATTTACTACGACCGGTTTTTACACGCGCCTAGGCTCCCTGCCGGAGATGAAATACACATCTGAAGCAACTTCGCATGAAGGAAAGGATTGGGAAAATGTTTAATTATGTCACTTCCTAGTTTGCCGTGGAAAAACTATTCGGCGCTCAGTGGTCAAGAGGTGCACGGTTTCATCAACGCACTCGTACCTTCTACTTTCATACCCTCCGCCATGCATTTTGCAAAGCGGCAACTCGGGCACCGCTTCCGACATGTTTTATCAACGTGGCACGATGAATCTGCGGAACATTGATAGTGCTGAAACCAATGTTCTCTATGAGTTGAAACAAGACAATTCTTTATCAAAAAAGTTGTTCTAAAAATCTGGGAGAAAAATTGGAAATCAGGTGACGACAAGTCGTTAGCAAAAATAACAATAGTCGTTGAGAAGAAACTTCACCAAACAATTAGTGTTTGACTCGTATGTTCATGCCACATGATATTAGGTTGACAACTCACTTTCTTGTTCTGTACTGTGCGTTTGAAGAACCCCTGAAAGAAGAAGAAAGTCAGCAAGAAAGGGTACTCCTCTCTGACAGTCATCAGCGAGCTTGAAAATCTACCAGGCTTACCAGGCTCTATACGAGTCTCCGAAAGCCAAATATGTAGGTCCTCAAAAGAGAAACTTGGAGAAGATTAGACTTGAGCATCGACTCACCTTGCAGCTTTCGCAAGTCAGCAGCCCATAATGGTATCCCGACACGCGGTCGCCACACACAGGACATGCTTCGGCTTCAAGTGCTGGTTTGAAAGCGGTATCCACACCTACCATGGACCTCCTCGGTACCTAACATAGACCACAGCTCGCTAAGACTGTATGAGCCGCCCTCCTTCTGCGTATATCCGTTCACCACGGTATGTCGCCGTATGTCTCCGACCTCCCACCGCGCCCACTCTCTTCTATCGTTGGTGAGAGTGTGAAGGTCGTGAGCTGGTACTGTAATAGTCAAAAAGGGAGAGATTCCGTGCCAGGTACGCAAGTTTAGGCCTACGGTAAAATGAGAGTTGAAATATGATTCGTTCAAAAGAGACGGCATTCACGAACTTGCAGAACATAACAAGCAGATAGTGAGTATTTCGTGCCACCTTACAACTCAACAAAGATCGGTGACAAATGTATCAGTTCTCTACTGCATGTGTTCTATGCTATAGCACGAAATGATCACTTGTGATTGGCTTCTCTTTAAATATATAAAACTTTACATAAAAATCAAGGCCTTTCGCGAAACGCTCAGCAGATTTCGATATAGGGAAGGGTTACCTGACTGAAAGTGCACCCGTGACACATAAGCATTACCGAAAAATAAAAAGTGCTAGATAAATCTCTGTTTCAGAAAGTCACTAGCGTTTTTGACATTCGTGGTGGAATGACGAATTTGATAGAAAACCCAGCTATTTCTTATTTTCTCTCTAATTTTCATTAGCATGTTGTTTCCAGGACGGGGAAAATTGTGAATTTTTGAAACAAAAATGAAGCCATGCACCAGAGGCATTACTGCGCCCGAAGCCCCATCTAGACAGAGTTTCGAACAGGTTTGAAAAACAAAAGAACGACTGAGAAAAAGAAAGCCACGAGTCATGAAGAAAGCCGCAAAATGGTTGCCTAATTTTTCTCCGAGCGAACATAAATTAATCTGTGTTGCGACTGGATGTAGCAAGGATTTTTGGGCTCAAAAACCAAGAAAAACTCCAGGCTCCGGACCTACCCGATTTTCATGCACCATTGCTTGCCCTCACCACACCGAAGCCCCGCTTGCCTTCGCCTTCTTGTTGGTTTCTATGCCATAGCACAGTGTCCGTAAGCACATGTATCTGTTATAGATCCGTCCAAAGCCAAATTTCGTCCAAGCACTCAACGTTCTTCTTTTTCCAGTGTCATGGTTTGGCAACGTCGAAAGGAAGCCAGAAACATTGTTTTTTTTTTTATTTCTGCATTCTTTTTGCTCGCCCACATTTCGATCTTCCGCCAAGTGAAGGGACAAGCTAGAAGTGTCATTGCCGTTGTATGGAGTGAATGGTTTGTTTTTAGCATTGCATGCTGCGCATACATCAAGTAGGGATCACCGACTAGCTGCACCGTGAGCCCCCCTGATCTTGATTGCCGATTCTTGTTAGCGTTTGAATACAAAGTGAATGCTACGTGTCAAACTAAGAAGAGGAGCTCACATATTTCAACAACAACAAGTTCTAAGCCCAAGAATCATCAGCGCCTCAGAGCAATCATAGTTGTCATCACTGTATCCTTTATGCACCATGTATAACCATTGTTGAGCTAATCGATCAAAAAACCGCTAGATTCCTTTCAGTATAACAAAACACAATGAATAAACAAGTTTTTCTTTTCGTACGGATTTTGGCTATCTGACGGCATGAAGGAGAAAGTGCCACGAGGCAGTGAGAAAGTGTGGATTCATAAAATGTGAAACTGAAATGAAAAGGAAAGACCTCGAAGAGCGACAAAGACCAATGCATAAATTGCTGGGCATGTGGTACAACTTTTCATGATTATCAGTGTTCGCGAAAAGTTGTCGAACCTTCGTAGCTGGCAGTGCTTAGCAAATTCGAAAATTCATGAAGTTATTCAAGAAATTTTTCGAATCATTACATTTATTCACTACATATGAAGTCATCATCATATAATACTTGTTATATATGGAGAATTTGCGTCCCTCTGTCTCTTTGTCACGAAATTCTATTTTACCTAATGAAGCAAGTGCTGAGGTTGGGTCAATTTCGATATATAAGAGCAGAACACGGGCAAAACGAAAAGAGCACATGTCAACTCAGCAGAACTCTACAAACGAAAGGGGAACATGCACCGGAGTAGGCGATGCAAAGGGGAAAACTTTGCAGCTCCGTTTCTCAACAACCCAGACACAGGGCAAACATCAGCAGAGGTGAAGAGTGGGTTATTAAACGACATGAGGCACACTCGGCGTTGGCTGGGCGTCTTCGCTAGGGTTGTACTGTCTACAGCCTTCCAAAAAAGCCTTTGCACATTTTGTAGTTTTTTTTTAATTCAGTTTTTTCCATCACAACAACTAGCAGATACCGAATATACACACCGTCATTATTTACAAGGTATTTCCATTATTGAGGCAACTTGTAGATCCCACTTGCACGGAATTCCTGAGGTTTCGAGGAGAAACACTCGCCGATGCGCGTTTCCAATTGATTCACATGATCGGACTCCTTGCATTCTAAATGGTTTGATAGCGACCGGAACCGTTGAAGCCAAGTCTGGTGAATACGGTGGGTGGGTCAGAGCATGCCATCCTAAGCTTTGCAGTTCTTTGTGGATCCCCTTCACAATGTGTAGGCGAGCATTGTCGTGGAAAAGTAGACTTTCCGCTGTGTTTCTCTCGTAGAGCTGCAACAACACGATCCATCAGAATACACTAGGCTTTGGGGCCGAGAGTGGAGTCTGGGGGCAGCAAGCACCAGTGGACAGACCTTTCAAGTGGCTCCAAAGACTAAACATTGAATTCCTAAATTGGAGTTCTGTTCGGGGGTCGGGATTCCATGCTCTACGCGTCCAAGCTACCGGACGTTTCCTAGAGTGGTTCACGCAGAGAACACACCTCTCGTAGCCGTTGATTAAGACTTCCAACCATGCGAAGGTGATCGGAAAGTCAACAACCCCTTATTTTGAAGGTGATGATCCCCCAGCTCACAACTTATCCATAATCCGTATCTCCATGTCTTTCCGAGGCGATGAAAATGGGCAGCTATTGTGCGTGCCGTGATGGGTATTGAGCTACTGTTCCAGCTCGCGAATATTACACATAGTATCCTCTTCATTTAGCTCCAGAAGGCGGTCACCGTTGAGCTCAGCTGGTTGCCCAGATGGTGGTTTTTCAGTCTAGCCAAAGTGGCCATTTTGAACCTGTGCAACCATTTTTGTTGTGCCGAGAGACAATGGGGGATCCCTTCGCATCCCTTATTTTCCTTGTCGCACAATTTGGATCGTCGTTGAACTTGTAAAACAGAAGCAGTCTCACTTGCTCTGAGTGGAGAGCGACTGTTCCAGCCATGACCGTTGCGAAATGCAATGGCAGATATGGTGTGAAGAGCGCAGTGATCTGCACTTATATATGCTCTGCGATGGATGTCCTAAAACAATCCAGAAAGATTTCAAAAAAGGAAAACGAAAATGTGCGATACTTTTCACGCAACCTAACTTATCATACCAGTCGGATCGCTCAACTTACGCTGGGCTTCCCTATTTTTTGACAAAGCTGGTTGCGATAATCGGTTCACTCTCCGCTCCTACTTTGAAACACAAATAGTACTTTTCTGTACACGAAATTTGACACGGGAACCAAAGCTCCGAATGGTACTCACGAATGTTTTCGAGTGATAGTAACACTGGTATAAAATGTGGGTATCAGTGGAGCTCCTTTTCTCTACGGATATATTATAAAACGAGAATCCCAGATTATCGGTGATACGTTTCCTCGCGAAGGATCTCGGATCGAAGAGGAAACGTGACTCTTCACTGAATCATAAACACATGGAATCAAGTCTTCTTTTTCGACCTCTCAGTATAATCTCTTTTATTGTGATTTCCATAAGAAGCGTTCGAGGCCTTCTGTGTTATTCTTCCGATACAGTCCGGACTGTATGATACTCACAAGGGAAGGATCCCAAATCGAAGTGGCCATTTGGAATGAGACCTACACTGCTATAAGTATTTTTTGATGCTGATTTCAAAACTGCATTCAAAAGTTGCCAAACGATTCTCTGTACAAAGTTATGGAATTATGGTCTCCGGAGAGCGCTCAATAGGAGAAAGCACAAAAGACATGGCCGCCGGTAGTCCAGCAGTGGCGGCTTGGAATAGAGGTAAGCGTGTCGCTTCATAGGCGTGGGACCACGGATCGGGTTTGGTGGGTGATGCCGTTTTTGCATTTTGCAGGAGTTTTTCCTCCAGCTTGTAAAATCTTTTTATGTTAGTTTTACCATCTTCGGCGACTTTTTGAATGCTCGAGGTGAAGCAGTTCCCACCGAAACGGTCTTCCACTGCGAAATGAGCCAGACGAGCTTCAACAAGAACCCAATGGCGAGTTTTAACAGAGGGTT